TGCAGGGTCTGATGTCATGCCGACCACAGTCTGCAGGCTCTTGCCTTGTGTCCATGTCGGCTTAGGAAGCTCATCCGCCTCCTGGTGCCTGTGCCTCTGAGAGGCCTTGGTGACTGTGAGTCCCCAGCATGCTTTGCGAGCCTCAGCCAAGCCCTCAGCCTGGGGTTTGGCCATCATTTGCTCACTGTTGGTAGTTGTTTGTCTTACCTGCTGGGCCCCAAGCTCCTGGCAGGCTTGTTCCTTGAGCCTCACCCTGTCCCTAGGACTTTGTAGATGTCTGCGGAGCAAATGCTTCACCTGGGATGCTCCCCAGGCGCAACACAAGAGGGCTGGCAGTGCTGGGGACAGGGTACAGACCGTAAGGGGCCCAGGGCTGGGAGCTCCTGCTGGGCTGCCAGCTGCCCCACGCTTCCCTTTTCCAATCATACCCTCCCTTCAAAGCCCCACCAGGGTTCCCTGCCTGCAGGAGGCCGTAGGCGCTGGCTGGTCGGCCTCTGGCTCGTTTGTGCAGGACTATGTTCAAGGAGGCTGGGTGCCCAGGAGCGTGGGGCAGGAATGTCCAAGCCACACTTTTTGTTGTTAGGATTTATGTATTTGAAAGACAGACTACAGAGAGGGAGATACACACACACACAGAGCTCCCATCTGCTGGTTCACTCCTCGAGTGGCTGCAATAGTCAGGTCTGGGCCAGATCAAAGTCAGGAGACAGGAGTTCCTTTTGGGTCTCCCACGTGGGTGGTGGGAGCACAAGTACTTGGGCCAGTTCAGCTGCCTTCCTGGGTGCATTAGCAGGGAGCTGGATTGGAAGTGGAGCAGCCGGGACTCAAACTGGCACTCAGGTATCAGATGCCAGCACCACAGCAGTGTCTTAACCTTCCACACCACAATGCTGTCCCTCCCTGGCTTTCAGTTGCTGTCATCACATCTATTATCTAAAATACCCGCTTGGGGCTGGTGCTGTGGTGTGGCAGGTAAAGCTGCCACCTATAGTGCCGGCATCACATATGGGCAAGTCCTGGATGCTGCACTTCCAATCCAGCTCTCTGCTATGGCCTGGGAAAGCAGTAGAAAATGGACCAAGTCCTTGGGCCCCTGCACCTGTGTGGGAGATCTGGAAAAAGCTCCTGGCTCCTGGCTTTGGATCAGCCCAGCTCTGGCTGTTGCGGCCATTTGGGGGAGTGAACCAGCAGATAGAAGACCTCTCTCTCTCTCTCTCTCTCTGCCTCTGCCTCTCTGCAACTCTGCCTTTCAATTAAATAAATAAATCTTTTTAAAAAAGTACCAACTTGTGTTCTAATTTAAATATGTGTTTAAACAAGACAGTATTATTTCTACATGTTATACATAATATTGCTTTTTTCATTTTAAAAGCAAATTAAAAGATACAGAAGTAAAAATAACCTGTAATCCTGTTATCCAGTGACAATCTCCATTAACATTTTAATGTATTCTCATCTAACTTTCTGAATAATATTTTAACTGTTTACTTTTAAGCACTCTCAGCCTTACAGAAAAATTACATAAGAAGTTCCATATGCCCTTTTCCTAGATCCACTTTTTCTTTTTTTTAAGATTTATTTATTTGTTTGAAAGGCAGAGTTACAGAGAGGGGGGGGGAGAGTCAGAGAGAGCTCTTAAAGCCCCCTAACCCCCGTTCACTCCCCAGATGGCTGCAACAGCCAGCACTGAACCAGGCCAAAGCCAGGAACCAGAAGCTTCTTCTGGGTCTCCCACATGGATGGCAGGGGCCATGGCACTTGGGCCATCTACTGCTGCTTTTCCCAGGCCAGTAGCAGGGAGCTGGATCAGAAGCGGAGCAGCCAGGACCATATAGAATGCTGGTGTCCCAGGCAACAGCCCCAGTTCAGTGGTTTTTAATCTTTATCACATTTCCTTATTCTCCTTGTCTATAGGTGATCATAAAATCTGGAAACATAGCAAATATGCATTATGCAATTAAGGATGTCTTTAATCTGTAAATAAAATTATTCTTGCATTTTTCTGGATTTTATGGCTGCCTTGTTTATTTACACTGTTATTTTCCTTCAGCCATTTTATAAAATTTATCACTGGGGCCAGTATTGTGGCATGGTGGATAAAGCTGCCACCTGTGACATTGGCATTCCATATGGGCGCCAGTTCGAGTCTTGGCTGCTCCACCTCCAATCCAGCTCCCTGATAATGTCCTTGGGAAAGCAGTGGAACATACCCCAAGTACTTGGGGCCCCTGCAACCATGTGGGAGACCCAGATGAAGCACCCAGCTCCTGGCTTTGGCCTGGTCCAGCTCTGGCCATTGAGGCCATCTGGGAAGTGAACCAGTGGATGGATGTGTTCTCTCTCTCTTTCTAACTCTGCCTTTCAAATAAATAAATAAATCTTTTAAAAATTTATCATTTAGATTTTTTTACTTACTTTATTTGAAAGCAGAGTGACAGATCTTCCATCTGCTGGCTCACTCCCTAAATGCCAGCAACAGCTGGGACTGGACCAGGGCAAAGCCAGGGGCCCAGAACTCAGTGCATATCTCCCACATGGGTGGCAGGGATCCAAATACTTGAGCCGTCATCTGCTGCCTCCCAGGGTGTGCATTAGCAGGAAGCAGACGCCAAATCCCAAGTGGTGAGGTCACTGCTGCCCTACGTGCACCCCTGCCCCAACCATTTGAGAATCGGTTACGTTTATTCATCCATTCTTGCTCCAGCGTATCTCTTAAGGACCGGAAGCTTCTCTTATATAACCACAGCACAGTTATTAGAGTCAAGAGATTAGTATGATGTAATATCTTTATTAACCCATGGCCCATGTTCCAGTTTTGCCTCTTGTCTCGGGAATGCCCTGGAGAGCGTTTCCCGCCTGGCCAGGGTCCCGTCCTAAATCATGCCTCGCGCTTAGCCGTCTCCTCAGCTGCCTTTAGTGCAGAGCTGCTCCTCGGTTTTTGTCTGGATGGCACTGACATATTTGACAGCCAAGGCCAGTTATCTGAGGGCCGCCTCCTCAGTTTGGCTTGCCCGATGTTGCCTCGTGATTGGATTCAGTCCCTCCAGGAGACCACCTCAGTGAGGCTGTGGACTTAAGGTGTCACATCCCAGGCCTTCCACAGCCGCCTGCCCCTCCCTGGCCCTCCTGACGTGTCCCCGTCATTGTGGGGGGCCCTTTGTTCCATCCTGACACAGTGAAACGTGCGGCCTCAGCTGGACGCACCCTGCCCTAGCTCTGCCGTCGGCCGCTTCCCTGAGTAGCCCTGGCTCCCCGCAGTGGACCGGGACCCCCTGTCTTTCCATCTTTTCACTCTTCATTTGGAGCCCATCCAGCTCTGTTTATCGCCTTGTTTATTAAGTTGGAATCACACTGCTTATGTGTATTTTTATAACACCCTAAGCTTTGTCCATGTACAAATCTTGTCTGAAAACATTTTGAATGGCTGCAGCATATTCAGTTCTGTGAATGCACTCCCACTAATTAACCTCCCCCCTCGGTAAGCAATGCAGCTGAGCACATCCTTAGCATGTGCCTCCACCTATATCTCTGATTGCTTCCTTAGACTAAATTTTTTTAGACTAAATTTGTTTATTTTGAAGAGGTACATGGAGAGAGGGAGAAACAGAGAGAGAGAGAGAGAGAGAAGAGAGAGGAGAGAGGAGAGAGATCATCCATCCACTGGTTCTCTCCCCAAATGACCACAACAGCCAGGCTGAAGCTAGGAGCCAGGAGCTTTATCCGGGTCTCCCACATGGGTACAGAGCCCAAGGACTTGGGCCGTCTTCCACTGCTTTCCCAGGCACATTAGCAGGGAGCTGGCTTGGAAGTAGAACAACAGGGACTGGAACAGGCACACACATGGGATGCTGGTGTTGTAAATGATGGCTTAACCTGCTGCACCACAGTACCAGCCCCTAGGCTAAATTCTTAGAGATGAACTTTTGCCAGGACTACAGTGTGAGGATCGTGTATAGACAGGCTCTTGACTGGAGGGAATGGTTTGGCCATTTGAATCGTAAGAGATCAGAGAGGTGCCTGTTCTGGGTAGGCAGGTGCTGAAGCTTGATGTGGGCTGTGGAAGGATCACCTGGCTGGGCCAGAGAAATGGAGGTGGCATGGGGCGTGGTGTGGGCGGGGCTTTGAGATGACTTGGGCAAGATCTTTACTGGGAAGGGGAAGGAGCCTGAGCCATTGCAGAGGTGCGGTGTCGCGGTGAGCAGGGGAGGGAGTGTGGGGCTCCTGCTTCCCCCATGGTGCGGAGGATGTGCTGGGAGAGCTGTGGGCCTCCAGGGAGGGACTTGGGGCCAAGCCCAGAGTGTAGTGAGGCACGAACTCCCAGCGTTTGCAGCCTTCCCCTTCATCCTGAGCCTGGCACCCTGTCTCCTCCCCTGGAGCTCGGCTCTGCCCGGCTGGCTGTGTCCCCGGGGCAGAAGCCCAGCAGCAGCGGCGTTGCTTGGTTTCCTTTCATTGTGCTCTAATGCCTGTGGCCTGCTTAGCACAAAGCCCTGTTTTCCAGGGCCTCTGCTTTGGGGCAAGGCTGAGGGCAGCTGGCCCCTCTGTCCTGCCCCTCGCAGGGACTCCAGGCTGTGGGTGAACGTGGGCCCTAGGGCCGTAAGCTGGGTGCCATCAGGCGGGGAGCTTCCCCCTGGGGCTGAGCTGGATGTTGGAGGGGAGCCTTGGCAGGGCAGGCAGGACCCTCTCTCCCTCAAGAGGTCCTCACAAGGCAGGGAGGTGGGAGAGGGCTGGGCCCAGGCCTCCCCTCCAGTCTGCAAGCCTGCTGATGTTAGGAATTTCTGAAGGGTGCAGATTCTGGGGCATCTGGGGGAGAAGCTGGGACACTCGCTGAGTCTCTTCAAAGCCCTCAGCTCTGGGAAAACTGGGCCCCCCATTGGCGTCTGTTACCCACAGGGGGCATCCTGGGACCTGGGGACCCCACTCACAAGGGTGGGCTGTGAGCAGGGATCTGGGGAGCAGGGTCAGCCACTGATCTCCTCTCCTCTCTCCCACCCCCTCTGCAGACATCCTTCTACGGCCGCTTCAGGCACTTCCTGGATATCATCGACCCACGCACGCTCTTTGTCACCGAGGTAAGGCATCCAGGCCTCTGCACCTGGTCACTTCTGAGTGTCCCAGGCAGAGTGGGCATGGGGGAGTGAATAGGATAGGGGAGGTGGGAGGTGAGAGGAACTCACCTGTCTGTCTTCCGATCTGTCTATTGTACATGTGCTGTGCTGTGTTGTGCTTTTCTCCACCATTTCACTGGAATCTCACAACACCCCTTTAAGACAGACATCATCATTATTACTATTTAAAAACTTAGTGAAATTGCCAAGTTCAGAAGTTACATGCCCATTACACAATTCCTGCAGAAGTAGTTCAATAGAACAAAAAGTGATCCTACAATCATCCTGGTCGCCCAGCTCTCTCCACTCATAGCTAACTGTCAGTAACTGCTCATGGCAGTTTATCGAGGTATCATTTACCTGTTTTAGGTGAGCACTTCCGAGTTGGGACAAGCATAGTCAGGCGCCCACCACAGTCAAGATGTCCCACGGTTCCATCACCCTGGCATCTTCTCTCATGCCTCTTTAGGGTCAGCTTCCCCCAGGCCCAGGCCCTGGCAACCACTCGACTATTTCCTGGTTCCATTGCTTTCCTGTTTCCAGAGTGTCCTGTAAAGGGAATCCCAGAGCCTGCAGCCTTTTGTGCCTGGCTTCTTTCCCTTACCGTGTGTTTTTGAGAGTCATCTCCTTTGCTGCACAGATCAGTAGTTCCTCCTTTCTTATTGCCGCGTGGTGGTTCATTGAAAGGATGTTCCTGGATTTGTTTATCTAGGGCTCTCCTTAGTTTGGGGCTAGTATGAATAAAAACTGCTACGAACATTCTTTGTGTGGATGTCTGCTTTCAATTCTCTTGAGTAAATAACTAGGAATGGGATTGGTGGCTCATGGTAAGTATGGCCAAAAAAAAAAAAAAAAAAAAAGTATTGAACTTGTTCAGAAACGGCCACCCACTGTTCAAAGTGGCTGTGCATTTCCTATCCCCATCAGCAACGTGCAGGAGTTCCAGTTGCTCCACTTCCTCACCAACACTTGCTGTTGTTAAATATAAACAGTTTTAAGTTTTAACCATCCTAAGAACTATGTCTTTTTAGGCCTTTACTCATATTTGCAAATGTGTGTAGAGAATACATGCTTGTATAAAATTGTAAATATCGACTAAACAAGGCAAGCAAGCAAAGCAACTTGTAAGCATTTTACATGCATTAGCTCAGCAGATGAATTCCAAGTAGCCAGTAGCCCTAGGAGGTGGATGATACTATAAGTTCCGTTTTCCAGATGGGGAAACCAGCAGAAAGAAGCTAAGTCTCCCGGCACAGGGCACTGGCCAGTGGTGGGTCCAGGATGTGCACCCAGCCATGCTGACCTCCAGGCCCTCATTCTGAGCCACTTGGCATTCCTGTTCAGGTGCCTTGTGTTTAGGGAACTGGCACAGGAGTACTCAGTGGGCAGAAGGCCTGAGCTCTGGCCCTAGGCCCCAGTACACTGTGAGGCAAGTCACCGAGCCTGCGAGTCAGCTTCTCGAGTGCACTGCACTGCAGGCTTTCTCTGGGCTGGCCGTTGGCTTTCCTCATCCCTGAGTTGACCAGCACAACGCTTGCTGGGCACCTGGGCCTGGAACACCTCCAGTGTGCCTGGGGGAGCAGCCCAGGCACTGGAATGTGGGAATCCCCTGAGGGGCCCAGGTATGGCTTCCTGGTACATGGCAGCAAGGACAGGGGACTGCTCTGCCCCTCGAGCCTCGCACCTCCTGAGGGCGGGGCTGCTGTGTCTAGGGCTCTGTTGGGATTCTCCTGAAGGAGGAATCAGTGCAATTACATAAAACCTTGAAAAAGCATCAAACTAGAGAAACTACCTCCTAAGCTTAGGTAATGTGGCAGTCTAGAAAGTTCCAGAACCATGCAAAGCTAGATACAGTTGCAGCTCTAAAATCCAACGTAAATGCCACCTGCTTGGCAAGGGGTCAGCAGAGGCTGGCGCTGAGGGAGGTGCTCAGGTGGGCCCTGCAGCAGATTGAGAAATGCTGGGGGGGGGGGTGCCTGTAGGCTTGGGAGGGGCTCTAGGGCTTGGGGGATAAGGCAGCAACTACAGGGCATGGTGCCACCCATACCTGGAATTCTTCCTCTCCCTTCTGCCAGTCCATCCTCTGTCCATTCCCAGACCATTTCGCTTTATTACTCTTCCTTGTTCCACATCCCCCTTCTTTAACTCCTGCATATTTATTTTATTTTATTTGAAAGGCAGAATGACAGAGACATAAGGGGAGAGAGAGAGAGAGAGAGAGAGAGAGAGCTTCCATCTGCTGGCTCCCTCCCTAGATGGCTACAAATGGCTTGCAGTGGGCCAGGCCGAATCCAGGAACCTGGAGCTCCACCTGGTCTCCCACATGGGTGACAGTACTTGGGCCATCTTCTGCTGCTTTTCCCAGGCACATTAGCAGGGGGCTGGATTGGAAGTGGAGCATCCAAGACTCATGTGAGCATCCAGTGCTCATAAGGGATGCATATGTCACAGGCAGTGGCATAACCTGCTGTGCCATGACGCTGGCCCTGACCCCATCATTCTTATATATCACTAACTCATTTGGGATCTGTTTATCCTGCAGTAGATTAAAAAAATAACCTCATACCTTTTTAAAAACTATTGATTGAAATGTCAAAGCAACTTCAATATTTCTGACTAAGAAATAACCAAGGCAATAGCAGTTTTAGAATAGTTTCAAGTTTCACGTCTTCCTCCTCCTTATCAGAGATTCCGATAGGCACCCTAGAGGGAGCTCTCTGTCCTGCTGTACCCCAGTGGGGGTAGTTTCTAGACTGCTTCCGGTGTTTTGGAAAGTTCCCGCCCCCAGAACTTCTAGGCCTGGAAATCTGTGGAAGGGCTCTGAGCAGGACCTCCAGGCCAGCAGGTGTTAGCAAGGTCATCTGCATCATGCAATGAGAAAACATAGGCACAAGGACAGCGAGCTTGTCATCTGAGCTGGGCGCTCCTGGTGGGTCAGGCTCCTGGATGGCTGGGCTCAGGTCCTCGGACCCTACTACATGTCTCTGAAGCCCTGTTTCTCTCCCAGGACCATTGGCTGGCATAGGAAGGGAGGCAGTGTGGGGTGGCAGCTACCCACTTGGAGGAGCTGTGGACAGGCCTATCTCTAGGGTGGGAAGGTGGTGGACATGAGGAGGTGCCTATGGTGGAAAGACTGGCCAGCATGCACCACATAATGACCCCGTTAGCAGGGGCCCGGCTGACTGCACAGCCTCATCTTGAGCGCGTTTTGCAGCTACTTGTTTGTGATTTATAACTGACCAAGCTTGAAAAGGATTCCAACCCTTGTATGTGTAATGAGGCGGAGATGTGATTCGCTGTAATTTCTCTTAGGAAGAAGGCCGCCTTTGTTCTAAGATTGCCTTGAACAAGGCTTCTGAGGAGGAGGAGGCCGCTCTGTTTGACAGAGGACAAAGAACTTAGGTTTTTGATCCTACAAGGAGAGAGAAAAGGGAAGGAAGAAGAGGAAAAACAGTGGGGAGGAGGGAGCCCTGAAACTGGGGTGAGGGAAGGCAGAGCCACGTTGGGGGCTGGCGGGGGGCTCTTTTGATGCCTCCTGTGCTTGTGAATTTTCTTGTGAATTTACACTGTCCCTGCCACGTCATTCCTGGGAGGTTGTCAGCACAGCCTGCCTGGGTCATGAAATCTCAGGAAGAGGCCGGCGCCGCGGCTCACTAGGCTAATCCTCCACCTGCGGCACCGGTACCCTGGGTTCTAGTCCCAGTCGGGGTGCCGGATTCTGTCTCGGTTGCTCCTCTTCCAGTCCAGCTCGGTCTGCTGTGGCCTGGGAGGGCAGTGGAGGATGGCCCAAGTGCTTGGGCTCTGCACCTGCGTGGAAGACCAGGAGAAGCGCTTGGCTCCTGGCTTCGGATCAGTGTGGTGCACCGGCCACAGCTGCCATTGGAGGGTGAACCAATGGAAAAGGAAGACCTTTCTCTCTGTCTCTCTCTCTCACTGTCCACTCTGCCTGTCAAAAGAAAAAAAAAGAAATCTCAGGAAGAGTAGGTTATTTGCAGGGGATCTTTAGGGAGCGGGCGAAGTGTGTCCAGCCCCAGGCCTAAGGAACGGGAACCACCAGCAGCTTGCAGAAGCCTTGGAAGCAAGGCCATGGAGTGAGCCCCGCTAAGGGCAAGGCCATGCCACGTGACGGCTGAGTTGCTCTTACTTGTGGGCCGAATTCAGTGCTTACTTAAGGGAATGAACCGCTGACCAGTCATCACCCTGGAGCATACAGAATGCTACCTGAAGTAGTAATGGCAAAACCAACTCCGCCCTGCCATGGGTGGGTGGGTGGGTGGGGGTTGCTCTGAGCCTATTCTGAGTGCTGTAGGATAGAACAGCAGTGATGCTGAGGTCCAGAACCTGGGTTCTTGCTGTGGCAGTGCGGGATACAGATAAGGAGGAGGGGGAAAGAACTGGGCAATGTTATAGGTGGATGGCCAGTGTCAGCATGGACTCAGGAGTGACACGTGCACGCACGCGCACCACACACACACATGTGTATCTCTGTTTCATAACTCGCTGGCCCTGTTCACTCACAGGTCCTAGCAATAATGAGGCCCTAGGAACAGTAAACATCCTTAGCCCTAGAATCTCAGCTTCTCGGTACCACCACCCACAGAGAGAGACCAGGGTTGGGGCAGGGAGGGTCGTTGTAGGAAAAAAGGAAGTGCTCAGAGAATGATGGAAACAGAAGCTGACTTGAAAGGAAACCCACCAGCCACATTTGGGACTATCTGAGCAGTAAGAAGAAAAACAGCAATGGAGTCTAACGTGTCACATCAAAAAGAAAATGCATGGGTCCCTGGTAATACTAAAAATGAGGGAGTGGAGTCGTCCCCTGCAGAAGATTGCCCACTGGTAAGTGCTGTAACTCTCGGGAAGTCGCTGGATCCGACTGGGATCTCCATAAAGCAGAAGGTGGTTTAGAAACAGGTTATTTGCCCTCGAAGTATCAGCTGATAGGCTTTTTACTTAGCAATTAC